GCTGATGCTGGGGTCCTTCGAAAAGTCCATGGAGGACTACTGGCCATGTTTGGCAACATTTGTGTTATTTTCACTTGAGGCGTCCCGGCCAGTAGTGTTTCTTTGTTGTTCTGGACCTGGGCCCAAGTATTCCGAGATATTCCGAGGATGTTCTATGCTTGCTTGCGCAAGAGAGTGGATGTGAATGCCGTCAAGCATGAAAGCCAACTCTTGGAGGGCGGTGATTTAAGGCTTGCGTCCAACCAGTGGGTGAGATCCGCTTTCAAAGACGCTTGCTGGCAAACAACATGTTTTCCTGCAGCTGTGCCTTCTTCAACTCAATCATCCACCTTTTCGAACCATACTATTCCCTTGTGCTTTTGCATGGCGACACATGGACTGCGCTCAAAAAAGCCCTACTCAAAAAATATAGATAGACGTAAACTTTTAAGGCTGTAGATGTGTTTTTAAGTTTTCGTTTAGAAGCGGGCCCCCAGCAGAATATGGTGATGCAGCGCTAGATTGGCGCTAGGTTTCTTGATAACAGGATAGCAAGCAGGAAAAAGAAGACACAAGCAGAGAGCAGGAAACAGAAGAAGCAAGACAAGAAAGAAGAAAAGCCAAGAAGAAGAAGAAGAAGAATGCACAACAAGAAGAAGACAAGCAAGCGCGAAAAATAAGAATCTGACAGGATAAAGAAATCGACGGAGATTTTTGCGCTAGGCTGGCGCTAGATCCGCGCTAGCACCGCGCTAGACGACCGTCCATTTCTTGACCATTTGCCCATCCAACATCCAAATCTTTTGAGTCAGCTCTTACGTCCTTCCTAATTATGTCGTTCTGAAGATTTCTGAGATCAAAAAGTGGAAACAACTGCAGGAGTCCAGCAGCAGCAACAGCATCTCAGCAGTCCGCGCTAGACACCTCTCACAGTTTTTGCAGTTCACACGCCTTCATGTTTTTAGCATCACTGTGGTTTGAGTGTGGTTGAAGTTTAAAGGAGATTTAGAAGCGGGCCCCCATGGAATTGCGACGAGTGCACCTTTTTGGGAAAAGACATTTTGGAAACCAACCATTTGCGCGGTGCGCAGGGGGATTGAGTCAGGCACTCGTCGAGATCACCCGAACAAATTTGGTGTGGACAGGGTCCAATGTTGATGAGCGCCTTCGACAAGCTTACATCAGCTTCCAGGAAATGTGTAAGCTTCATGGAATCCGACCCATGGTTGCGCCATGTTTGTGTTTGTGCTGTCAATTGATAAGACTTGCAATGAATGCTCAGCTCAGCTGAGGGCTGCAGCTACCCCTACCGCATAGAAACGGCCTTTCCCATCGGCAGAGGAGGTCTTATACCCTATGGTGAGGGATCGATGATGGTTCGCTGCAGTAGCAAGATAGTCTTGTACGTATTGACGCATGTGTGCTGCACTTTGCAGTAATTTAGCAAGCTGCGGTGGAGCCGGTGCAGGGCATTCTGTTAGCACAAAGGCCGGATGTGTGTGCAAAGCCCCATGATCGACGATGAAGCCAAGCTTCTGTGCAAGGTGATACGGAGGAGGTGCACGATGACTGACAGCGTGTAATGGGGAGTCAGCAGCTTGTCGTGCAGCTGCACTAGCAGTGCCCGCAAAGTGATCAGCAAGTTTGTTGCGTTCTCTTGGGAGATAAACTAGCCGGAAAATGAACGGGGCTCTCGCCAGCAGCAACTGGCATTCCTCTAGGATTTTCACGACTGCAAGTCTCTTGATACGACCACGACCTTGTAAATAATTCAGGAGGGGCAGAATGTCGCCTTGAAGAACTACGCCATCCTGTGCTATTCCTTGTCGGAGGCATTCATGGTAGAATTCAGTGGCTAATTGCACTGCATGCAGACACGCCTGTGCCTCTGCAATAACATTATCTGGGCAATCAAGCAATGGTGTTGACTTCCATCGGACGAGAGTCGTAGAGTCTTGGGTAACTTGTAGAAGGCTGACCCCTGCGCTTCTTGCCGCCCCGCTGGCGGCGGCCGGCGCGCCGGGCGGGCGGCACCTCCAGCGCGGAGTCCAGCATGGCGGCCAGCGCGGGGCTCGCCGCACGGCCCGGGCTCGGCGCCGGAGCCCCCCTTTTTTTGCGCGGTTGCGGTCGCGCCGCCGCGTCGCTGCAGTCCGCGGCCATGTGCGGATTTCCTTGCGGGCCGGCGGCGCAGGCTATCGGTGCGCGCGCCGCGCGGTGGCCTCGGAGGCCTCCCGCTCCAGGCGCCACCACAGGGCGGCCAGCGGCGCGCCGTCGCTGGCCCAGGGCTTGGGGTGCAGCGCCCAGTACACCACCGCGGCGTCGCCGGCGTCCTCGGCGCCGGGCCGCGGGACGCGGTTGTAGGCCTCGGGCAGCGGCTCGAAGCCGCCGTTGCGGTGGTAGAACCAGTTCAGGAGCGTCTGGTCGTTGCTGGGCCTCCAACTCGGTTTAAGATATCTTTTCTCATGTTCCAAAACATGACCATCAAAGGGGTGCCCATTATCCACTCACTTAGAAGATCTCAAAAAAAAAATCAAAAAGCATTCCTTTGTGACTGCTGGTATATGGATATACTATAGTTCACATAATCTATGCCTGGACTATTTTGTCCTGGGGTTCCTGGCTGGAGATCCCTAAGTAGTGTAGGGTAGTCTAGCCAGGGCACCCATTGGACACCCATTGGATGGTCCTGGTATGTAACGGTATGTGTATACAATTGTTCAGGGTTTTTCAGGGACACACAATCGCCCGTCCTATGACAATGTTGTCCAACAAACAATATCAACATATTTGAACTCTACGAATATTACATTGTATCACAATGTTTTCCATCGGCCAGCTTCTGTTTTGGATGTTGTTGGTTCCTGTTGTTTTGGAGATCCGACATATGTCGAAACTCGACGCATCTTAGCCCGGGCACCTGGCCACACAACCCGGGCGAGGCCCCTGGCCGCTCATAGCCAGCTCGGCTGCGGAGGTTGGGTCGTGGTGCTCCATCTCCCATGCATCCTTCACCTCTGGAACTAACAAAATTTTAAGCGACTGCCTACACCAGACAAACTCAAGGTGCCTCTTATGGCGTTTCATGTCCTGAAGGAGGTAGAACAAAGCTTTCGATATGATCAAATATGTATATAATAAATGTGTGTTGCCCCTGTGTAGTTCAGGCGAGGCTGGATTCGTAGAAAACAATTGAAACATTTGAAGCAGTATAAACATTTTTAAAAAAAACGGGGAAATTGGACTTTGGACACTTATAAAAGGCTGTCGGCACCTTTGTCTCCCTTTCAGTGCTTCAAAACAGAAAATTCTAAAAGCCTACTCGCTCATAAGTCCAAATCCCCAGAAAATAAGCCTCAAATCTTTGTTGGATCCTCAATCCTCCCCTAGGAATCCTCCAAGTTCAAACCCCAAATCCAAAATGAAATCCATTGAATTCCTATTGGACTCAGAACAGTAGGGGGAAAAATGTAAATGACTTTCCACTCTGATCTCTCTGCTCTCCCCTGCTTTCCCTATGCAAGCTCACACTGCGAACAGTTCAACAAAATACTAAAAAACATGTCTCTTCTTTTTTTTGCAATCGGTTTAAACAAACCGTGAAAACATGTAAAAATCATCTGTAATCTGTCGACCGAGTGCTCGTATGAGTAAAAACAATCATTTGAGTGTGAATAGCTTCGGATGTTTCTTTCGTGTTGGGGCCGTTTTTTGAAGATTTGCTGCTTGTTGTTGCCTTCCTTTCATGACTTCCCTGTGATGGCTCCGATTTTCGTCCGCTGATACCCAGCTTCCTTTTGCGGTGTTTTGCCCGGCTTCTCGGAGTAGATAGAAGAGGCAATTGATGAGGAGTTCGAAGGAATCTCTGTCTGATGCGGAAGAGAGTCGTCACTGGTTCATAGATTGATTGATCATGTATTTGTTCTTGACTTTGGTTTTGATGTTGATCAGGAATTCATATACGCATATTAAAAAAAAAGCGTTTGGTGGCTCCAATGGTTTATGTTCTGAAGTGCAGAAATTTATACTGTAAAGGGTCTGTGTTTTTATCTACGAAATTTGTTCCATTGCGGTTGAGGCCATAGAAAGCAAAAAGCAAAAGCACAAGGGCAATAATTATGCCATCATATGCCACAAAAAAATAAAGAAACAGGACAGTACATAACAGCAGAAGAAAAACCAGGAAGAGCAAGTCCAGCGGTGGCCTGACGTCTGTTTCACTGCGCAAATACGCCAAATTCAAGCTCTTTAGACTGACCAAGCACCCGTGTGAACCCAATGCGAACTCAACCCAAACAAGCAGCAAGTACTACGAGTGCTTCTTATAGCAGGGATCCTTTCATGAGCCTGGGGTGCCATCAACTCGAGCTTTCTCACTTTGACAGATCCGTGTTGTATCCTTTAAATACATCTGACCATCCGACTCGAGCACGTGGTCCTTCACCAGCGAGCTCGGTCGGAGATGAGCTCAGCTGCGGATGGTTCTTACTTTTTTCAACCGCGGCAGCGAATGCCTTGCCACCCAGAATCCAGAAAACATAAGAACACTGTGAAAGATCTAATCTATAACAAGCGCAAGCGCAAAGGCGACAGCAAAAGGCATGGAAAAAAGGGGTCATACTGTAGTACTCTGTTTCCGACAGAAACAACAAGTAGGAAATACTAGTTAGGCTGTTTCTTAGCTTCAACCGATCACCGGCTACCCCAACATATCCCAACACACCCACCTTAAAGCAAACATAGCAAACAATATATAGCAATCAACCTGGCAAAACACGACCACATATCAGCTGGGCTGTACACTAAGGCTTTATTCCAAATGACCTGGGCCTCCTGGCCGCCCCAGAACCATGGTATCTGAACCCTGGAATAGACCGACCCAATACAGGTTCTTTGGTCTTAAGAGTCTTAAGTCAATGTCAATTTTCAGGTCCCCCAACAAAGTTATGTGTAAACTTTTGTCTGGGTAAATCACACATCACTTTTGTCTGGTATAGCCCAGAGATCAGTCAACAACTGTGATGTTTCGCGAAAATTGCCCGTTGTGCTGTCACCGAAAATTGCCCGTTCCGCACACACAGGTGGCCGCGCGGCCACCGTGCTCTCAGCTCGCTAGCTTGGAGAAAGTCGCCTCTCCGCAGCTCATTAGCATCAGGGCAACCTGCAGGGAATATCGATGAGGTGAACAAACGTTATCACCCGATGTGCATGATGCAAGATGACGACTCCTAGTGTCCCGATCATGCGAGCATGAACTGTTTCACATGTTGGTATAGCACCGAGCTCGATGCACCGAGTATGAGTCCTTCAGGAGACGACGTACATCACGTGATGTATCGAGCGGGTGCACCCGCCCTTTTCCTCGGAACCGCCGAACCGAACCGACAGGACCCACCTTCTTCTCATAGTAAGCCGCTTCGTTCACGAACAAGGCGTAGACTCTCTCGTACTTCTCAGGCACCTGGAGTCTCAGCCGCGTTAAGAAACCATCCCCCAAATTTTTGTTCAGCCGCAAAGAAGCAACCTAAGAGTTCTCTTCTCAATGTTACAAAGACCAAAATTAATAAAGACCAAGATTGTAAGGTCCATCATTCACAGATTATGAGATTTCATTCTATTTCCATTGTTTTTATCACATAATCGTGAATCATATTGACACAGCATTTTCTTTCATATTACATCTTATGGTTACCTTTTCCATTAATAATTCTTCAATATGAAATGGACCAAGTTGACCTAGAGATTTTTTCGGGAGAAAGCTATAATTAATATGAATGAATGAAAAATATCATAAAATTAAAAGAAGAATCCCCAAAGAATAAATGGTTGTGTGGCTATCCTTTATTATTTGGGGATGAAGGTCATAAGCGTGGCATAGATTTCTTAGAAAATCATATTAAAAGGGATTGATAGGCTATGTAATTATATTTTGTATCTTTCAGACAACCTAAAGGTAACCTATCTACTCCGAAGCCCGGTGTGAGGCCCCCAACTTTGAGTCATGTGAAGATGACCCCACTTTGCCGTGAAAGATTTGAAAACAACAGATGGGTCCTGACCTACCATGTAGTTGGGGATCCCAGAACTTGTCTGGCCAACAAATTGAGCCCGCACCGAAGGTGCTGAGGTGTTGTCTCAGTTCGCGTAGACCGCTAGCAAGTGCCAGATCGTTCATTAAGCTTTATCTTGGGGGAGCCTTTTTTGCTCTAGAATGTACGGCTTTTGATGTGTATGCGTTTATTGTTTACTTTTATGTTTGCTTAACACCGATGAATAATGCACAAATCATTGGCGATGTTAGTTATGCTGCCCGAGTGAAAATGCATATCTGACATCATATGTTCTTGTCATGTTGCATTCCCAAAGGAGAAGCGATCAAACTATTTATAATGTTAGATATGCTGCACGAATTGAACTGCATTATTGAAAGCGTGTGCGCGTTTGCACCTGCGGACTATTGATGGTGAGCGTGCTTTCCGTGCGGGCGGTCTTCGCCGCGAAGCGGTGTGAATACTCGGCACATCGGGCTCACGTTGAACAACAAGTGCATAAGTAATTAACTGAGGCTATTCTAGATCTTTATGGTGAGAAAGTCCTCTTTCGGATGGTCTGGTGACGCTGGTGATTAACATGTTTATGGAAGCCACTGACATGATCGCAATCCAAACCGCAGGCCCTGGCCCTGGATGGTGGAGTTTCCAGCTAATGGTGGGCCACCCACGTTCCTGCACGTGTCCACTCATGGTACTTCTGCTTTATTGCTTGCAAGCAATGCACTGCCGCAAGTTGAACAAAAGGTCTGCACTGTGAACAAAAGGTCTTCAAGAACACTTTAAGCAACAAAATGCTATCTTACTGTTCAACAACATCTTTTTCTTTTGCACTGCCTCTGGGAAGAATGATGGCTGGAAAGTGCCCTCTCAGTTCCTCAAACAGTTCTCCCAAAGAACAAGTAACAGATATGAATGAAACAAACGGGCACTTCCACAGCCTGCAGGACACCAGAAACCAAATTTGTATTCTACCCAAGAAGTACTGCAAAGCTATTTTAAACTCTATTAGTGGATGTCCTTTGCCGATGCAAGCCCAACAAAAGAACACAGCGATGTGTTCAGGGGCTCGTACGAGGTCCCTCGCGAAAACGCGGGGCAATGGTGGGAAAGGAGGTCAGAACACAGCCCCACCATCGCAGCTGTTGGTGGTGTGTTCCAGGCCCAAGCAATGTGCATGCGCTCCTTTTTTGCCTACAAGCTGTGCAAATGGATTTGTCATATCCGAATCACATTGCAGAGAATGCAAAAGATGCATAAAATGCAACAAAAGGTATCCATGCACCAAATGGCGCACACGATTCCGCTAATATTGCAATAGGCCGCCATGAACAAAGTTCCAACAGACCAAGCATCTTTCTTTGCCCCCGATATCATCAGAACCCATACTACTGTCAAATGCAACTCCTCTACTGCCACCTGCAAAGGAGACCAATTTGGCTTTCCTCCCGTACCCACCAGTAGGTTCTTCACTGCCAATGGCTCCTTGTTGGCCCCAGCATCCACCAGCAACCTCACGACTTTCCGGTGACCACACTCAGCTGCTGCATGCAAAGGGCTCCAGCCATCCTTGTTCACCGCATCTTGGTCAGCTCCAGCCTCCAACAACAAGTGCACGACTCCTGAGTGGCCTTTTGTGGCTGCAAAATGCAAAGGAGTGAAGCCAGCCGGATTACGAGCCTCAGTGTCACTTTTGGCCTCAACCAGCAAGCGAACCACTTCCAAGTGACCGTGGCAAGCTGCCAAGTGAAGTAGGACACTCGCCTGAATGAGCTCTGTCAATTGCTTGTTGGGATCGAAGGGTGTCTGGAGGAGCTTCTCAACGTCCCGGACGCGATTCTCAGAACATGCACAGATCAATGCTTTCTCGTCTGCTTGATCAGGGGGATGAAAGTCCGATATTAGCACTTGACAAGGACTCGGGCAGGTCTGCAGAGGCATCTCGTCCTCCAGCTCACCCGTCTCCGCAAAAAGTCTTTGCTGAAACCTCGATTGTCCTAGTTGAACGGCAAGGCGCAGCTTCAGGTGCTTGATCGTTTGGCCTGCTTCCCGCATCTGCCGAAGCTCCTCTTCCTCCAGCTCCGTGACAGCTTCACCGGACAGAGCACCGAGGCATAACATGGAGGACAAAGAGGATCAAAATGAATTGAATAACCTACAAACCACGGTTTTTTTGGAACTCTGGACTGAGCCGACAGTGACGCTTCGCAGAGTTCCCGACCTGACATTCGCCCAGTCCCCCTGGTTGAAGCACATCATGTTGTTTGATGTTTTTTGTATGTGTCTACCCAACTGTTAGTAAAGCCGTGGCATCGGTGCTGAAGGTAAAAATGATGTTGAGTCTCAATAGTTTGGTGCTTCATCCTGACATCGGCAGAGTACAGTGACTGGGGATCTTCACCTCTAAGTACAAGATGTCCAAACTTTTGAGGCTTTTTGCTGCAGCGCACCTTGCTGCAATGCCTCTGGATATGAGATTCTGTCTCACATCCTCGAAGTGGCTAAGGTACCGATCGACCGATACCCGACATCCTCTTGTGCCCAGGTCCCAGAGGATCTACAGCAACTGCCAGGTCCCAGATCGCATGACCTCGCTGGTCAACCCATCCATGGCCCTGATCAAACACCTGCAGCATTGGCGTCCAAAATGGTTCTGGTTGGTGTTTTCAGCCCACTTGAAAAATATGAGTCAGACGGCCCAATCATCCCCAACTAAGGGTTGAACAAATAAACATATCCGAAACCATCACCTAGGACCTAGGGTTGATGTTGGACACCTCCTTTCTGTTGTCTCCTTCCCCACGAGACGGGGCGAGGTCCCGGTCGCTGCCCCTTTGTCTCCCCGCAGCTTCCGCCGGCGACGACATCCGACGGGCAGACCTTGTGAGCTTTCCGGTCAAACGTCATCTCCTCCCCATCAAAGGTCATGAAGATCGGGTCACCTCAAAAGAACTCCAGATCTCATCATCGTGTCTCAAGATTGTTCAAGATCTGTCAACAAAAAGCTCGGAAAACCATGAAAACACTTCTGGCTTGCTTTCTTTTTCTGGCGGGGTTCGGCCTCAACTCGTTGGGGTTTTTGCGCTTTAGACGGAGCGACACTGCCACCACTGAGGACATGGGGGCCCCATGGCAGCGAGGAATATATGAACATATCCCCCCAAAAAGAACACTGCTTTTCTGCATCGTCTTTTCATTTGACAGGACAAAATGAAGTAAACACCCAAAAAGCATCCAGTCCAAGCCCCATCCAGTCCAAGCCTCTGTATTAGGTGAACACGACAAGCAAGGCCCAACCAATTGGATGAGTGTATCTCAGATCGGCCTCCTGAATTGTCTAAAGTGATGCTTCAACCAACGACCGCCCCCTGAACAGGCCCGACTCCTACCGTCTGCGCTTTGCAGCTCGGGAACTCTCTGGTCGTCCCAACACGTTCCTCTGACGTTCGTCTCGTCCACCGCTCGCTCGTTGGGTGGGAAATTGGGGGAACTCCTCCGGCTCCGGAACAAGTCCCACAGTCCCGTGCACCTGGGAACAGACCTTCGGAGACCTTCGGAACGGGTTTCCTCCCTCGGTCCACCGTGTTCGGTCGTGCCGTGTCGTGTCTCCGGCTGCGTTGTACAGAGACCGCTTCGGACCGAAGGACCGGTCTCCTTGGATCGGCCAGGGAACCCTCTTGGAGCTCCCGGAAGTCCTGGCCTTGCAGGGCCGGATGCACCTGGGGTGCGGGGTGCGGAGGAGTGGAGCTTGGTCCGGGCAAAGCAGTCGCGGTCGAGCTGGTGGGTGGATTGAAGGCACTTAACTCACTTGAAACGTATATGAGTCAATGGGACCAATCATCTCAAGGTTATCATAATTATATAGATCAACATCCTCTGAAAGCACCACTCAGTCTGCTATGGAGGTGCGTCACATCACATGTTTATTTGTTGGAGGACAAATCGATCCCCGAACAACCCAGAATACCCACGCAGGTCCCCAAAAGCACCATACATCACCATACTATGGGCTCACAACCACTCACATGGAACTGGCACATGTGCCCACACTGGAGTACCTTCAGGGGCCAAAAACTGGCTGCCTGGCTACATGTTCCACACTTGGAATGTCTGACAGCATACGTGAAACGAATGCCCCCATATTGCTTCCCCTCCGCACCGCGTCGGATCATCACCGGTCCCTTGCTGGACAATCAGGTACCAGTACAGTGGGACCCAACACCGACCCTATCGGTCAACTGCCAACTGCAAGAGGAGTCTGCGGGGCAGACCGGTTTGGGGCGTGACTCAAATGGAGGGCCCCAACCATGGAGGTCCCCAACCTTCATCCATCACCTTCCCGTCCTTCCGTCCTGACGAAAGGCCTGTTCCCGATGGGTAGGGGCAATCCTTAAGGGTTCCTATCGTGTTGTATCGATCCCGAGGTGCAAATGGATGCAAATGGTGGATACACTCTGGAGGATTCCTGAAGAAACACACGGCCCCTGACTGATTCGAAGATGCACTCCTCCAAAACGAGGTCAGTCTTAAAAACCCTTGTGAGCAAAGTCGAAGGCTAGCCCAAAGCTACAACCATCCATGGAGTATAAGCATTTCCAGGAGGAAGTGGGTGTTTTACAATTAGGAAGTGGATGTCCAAAAGAGGTGTTGACAGTGGACAGAGATTGTCTCCAAAAGAGGCTTGCAGTGCAGTAAACAGTCACGCTCCCTCCACACTGCCTCTCTTATTTTCAACGCAAGACTATCCAAGACCTCTCAAATGTAAAGAGGTGAAAGTCAGATAGCCGCAAGACTCAGCTTGACCTGGCACGAGGTGGGTCCACATCAGACCACACTTCCACACTTGTCAAATAGAAGGCGGGATAAAGTGTTGCCAAAAAATGAACTAGTTTTTCCCTTCACGCAGACGTGTGCAAAACACATCGCTATCATCGCGCCCAAAGATCAGCCGCTTCAGGCTCGATCAGGATCCCCAAAAAGCAACGTCTTGAATATGACTTGCTAAGATTCATGTCATATTTCAGAAAGTCATCTCCTACACATTCCAACACCTAAAGACTCAGGATCCCAGAGGGCTAAGCTTCTAGGGATTCAGCTTGAAAGATTTTGCCACTGCCACCCCTGCCCTCCGCAGTTCTGCCAACCGCTTCTCACGCCCAGCATTGCCAGCTTCTCGCAGCTCAGTCCGATCAGTGCAGCCACTTGACTTCTTCTTCGTATAGGCAATCGAGTAGGCCTGCTCTGCAAAAAAATGCTGGAAGGGGCTAACCATGGCAATATCAAAGCAGCAGAACAACCAAGACTCTCACACTATGAAGATTCTTCTTCAGCCGGGTCATTGTCCAGTAGTTCTCCTGCACAAGTTCAACCCATTCCAAAAGAAAAGCCAAAAGCCGCACAAACTCATAGCTTAAGTACTTTCACACAGTGCACCCATCAACTCACCAACCAAAACGCGGGATTGCATTGGGGTCCTGCTCGATCTTACCAGTCTTCTTATTAGCTTTCTTCCCAGGCTTGCTTGTCATGGACATGTCCTTCCCAGACTTGCCCTTGACTGTTGCAGGCTGGCCCTTCCCGTGTTTGTTGTCCCGAGGCTGTCCCTTCCTGGCCTTGCCATCCCCAGACTTACCAGCTCCTTTCCTCCCTTTGCCCTGCCCGAGTTTGGCTTTTGCCTTTGGCTTCGCTCCCAACTCCTGCAGTGCTCTGTGCGCCAGCCAGCACTGAACCAGCAATGGAATGAACGCTGACATATAGAGGTATTGAAAGCTAATTTATGATATCGAATCAATCAATGTTATACAGAAAGCGGACCTGGACATTGCTCGAGTTGCGAACAGGCGTAGGGATGATCTGCAAGGCCTTCATGGGGTTTCAATGGCTGTACACCAACTTTCCTGCACTGCAGCAACGTGCCTGGTCACCATTCTTGATCTCGGCGCCAGAGGTTTCCTGCATCAAGTCCAGGTCCAGTTCAGATCTGCTAGACCATTCTGTCAGACCATGTCTCTCAGTACAGACATGAGGAAAATGGTGCATTCCTTCTCATAACCAGCTGGCAATTCTGGAGGAGGATCTTCGCCAGAAGAAGGCTGCACCAGTTCCTGGGCAAGAGCTGCTGTACATATCTGTTCCAACTAATCAGTGAATGACTGGTAAGTCAAACTTCGCAAGACTCCTTGACAGGAATTCCTGGAAGCACAAGGGTCTCTGCATCGGAGTTCGCAAAACTACCTGATCAAATCTTGGATGGTACGACTGAGTGGATCTTGACAACTAACTTTCATCTACAAAAAATAGTGGTGTGCAGCCCAGCCTGGGCTTTCAATCGGTCCTTGAGCCAGCTGACCTGCAGACATGCCTTCAGCCTCCCGCTCCATGTCTGTCGAAACACCTTCAACTGGTCGCTCCACAGGGTCACCCATATCACCTTCCGCGAACTTCATCCATGCAGTTGCAGCTTCCCACTGCGACAGCTCGGCGCCAAAACTACCTTCCGGTTCTCCAAGCACAGCGCTCAAAACCGATTGGACCTGACTGTCAGCTGGTGACGAATCATTCTTGTCGGGCGCCACTTCTGCAGTGAAATCCAGTGGCTTCAATCTCTTGAGGGGTGGCTCTGCTTTGAGCGGTGGCTCTACCGGTGGAACCACAGGCTTCGCTTCAAGGCGGCGACAATTTCGGACTTTGGCCTGGCAATCAACATGACTGCACTCTCCGCCTCAGACAGTGTCCTAGAGGGCACCTTGAGATCAGCAAGCATGCCAGCAGACGAGTCCTTCGCACAACATCGCACAACTTCAAGAGAGAAACAGTTAGTTGGAGCCCCCACTACAATGATTGCATGCTCTCACTGAACTTTGACAGTAATGTCACAGCAAACCTCCGCCCCAGTGAGAGCATCATGCAATGTCTCAGCCTGCAAAAAATCTAAGAGATGTCAATCCGCAAACCAAAAAGCTGACAAGAGAGGCCTTCTTGTGACCCTTCTCACTCGGTTTGCTCTTGCTTTGGGTCTTGCGACCTGCCCACAAGGTATGGCAATATGCATGGTATCCTGGCTGTCCCTGGCCTGGTTTCTTTGGTTCCCGACGCCCAGCAGGACGCTTCTGCACCTTTGATCCTGTCCTTGTTTGTCCTACTTCATCATCATTCCCATCAGGTTTCTGATCATCGTCATCATCATTATTTTTGTTCACATCGTTTGTTTCATCAGCAGCAGCATCATCATCAGTCCGTTTTGCTTTCTTTTTGGCTGCCTTTGGTTTGGGCTTCCTCTTAACAGTCGGTTTTGTTGTTGGTTTGGTTTCATTGTTTTGAGTGTCTTGGTCCATATCTTGCTTGCGCTGCAGAGACTCATCAGATGATGATGTTGAGGCATTGAATCGTGGAGGCAAGCCTGTCCACTGTCCAGCATGTTTGAAAAATTACAGCTGTCATTGTCATATAAAAAAATGTATCCATAATACCCACTTCATTCCTGGAAATTCTCCGAACACCACAACCCAGCCTGAATCAGTTGTTGGAGTTGGCGCTCTCAACTTTGGTTTCGGAGTGACTGGATTGGCTGCTTTCGGTGCAGCCGCTGAAGAGCTAGGATTCGTGACATACTTCCCCAAGTCGAAGGCCTTGTCAAGGATGCCATGTGCACTGGACCAGAGCTGTTTCAAGACTGATATTTCCCTAGGCCATGGCATGCGCTCTGTATTTATGCAAGACACTGCAGCAAAGAAGGACTCATTTCACACCGCCATGTATGCAGTTGGGGGTTCAACTTTTCATTTTGCTTATTACTGTTCATTATTGAATCTGAAGCTAAAACATTCTGACTTGAGGCCCCCACAGGCATTGTATGGCGTGCTGGTGCACAGGTATCAAGAATTTCACAATCCGAATCCGATTCGTCCATCGTGGCAAACCGACTCGGCTGCACACTAGCTACCTTCACTTGAACAGTCTAGGCGACCATACGACATATTATGAGCAAAGTCACTTTGCAAACCGGTGGGGTTGCAAGCCTGCCATGCTGACCTCTTCGATGCCCTTGCGGCTCTTTTCACTGACATGAGGCTTTGCTGCCCGGTTTGTTTTTGTTTTGTGGAGGCCGTGTGCTCTGATGACGGGTAGACAGTCGACGCTAAAAAGATCTAAGCAGTACCAGGTAAAGTTCGTTTTGCTTATCAATCAATTTTCAAAGATCGGTTTCAGTTAAAATGCAAACTCTCATTCAAGGGGTGCAGCAGTCTTGTCAGAGCACATCCCCCCAACACAAGCAGAAATCTAAGGCTCTAAGGGATGAAAATCCGCTTTGTTAGGGCCAATTGCCTCCAAACTACATCACAGCAGCTGTACTGGAGTGTTCGCCTCCAAATCCAGCTGTCCTTTCAAAATCAAGACAGGCCGTTGCGGTTTCAATGTGCTCTTCCCACCAACGGCATCCAGCCTGGCACTCAAGCGGGGGCAGCTGGGCAGCTGGGAAGGGAAACACTGATTTGATATTAGTTTATGTTATGGTCTTTGGTTTGTGTATATAGTTTGTTCTGTGTGGTCTTCATCGATATCGGACAACCCCTGCCTCACCCGAAATCCAACTTTGACTGCTTCACCCTGCACCACCTTCTTGAGGCACAGCTTGGCAACAAACGTGAGTGCCGAGGATCCCTGCCAAGGCTTTACAACCGATGTTATCAGGAGAACCCCAAAACTGGTGTGAAATACT